AAGCTTGGGCCTAACGCAGTAAGCTAGATGCCCTATAGATGGCGGTAGAGGAGAACACAGCCAGGCCTAATATTAAAAATATAACAAGAGAGCTCCACACTTACAACCCACTTTCTTTGCTAATTGTCATGATAGGTAAAGTTCTTATTAACCGCAGCTCTAAAATAATCATGCACTGTATTTCAGATGACAGTATCACTTCAGTAATCTACCCTACCCTGTTCAAAATGACCCCAAACAGACAACATTTGTAAAATTAATAGAATATTTAAACATGGCTCTACGCTGAACATTTTTTACAAAGAGCACGTGTGTGCCTAAGTTGAAAAAATGTAGGTGCACACAAATAAATTTAGGAGCCAATAAAATATTTGAGGTATAAAGCTAGAATCCTTGATTTTAAGGCTCATTGTGCCCAAATAATCAGGTTGACAACAAGCTAGTAAAAGATCTGAGCCTGTCTCTCTTTTCACACACCACCCACCCCACACCCACACACATATAACACATATACACACACACCCAACCGGGGTCCTTAGTCCGTCGGCATAAGGAATACAGGATTATTATGGTTATCATGGATGGCGAGGCTGCAGCTGGCAGAGCTGGACCCTCCTCAAGTCACGTACGGCCGAGAGCCTTGGGTGATATGCCCAAGGAGGAGAACACACACACACACACACCACACACACACATAGGGCCCATGATCATACCCATACCGAGAGAGGAACATTTGAAAATAATTTGCTATAGTTTTTATCTTCCCAAATATACTGTCAAAATGTACAGGTAACTGCCAAAATAAAGGAAACCTTGAGTAAATTAGGGATACAAAGTACATTGAAAGCAGGTGCTTCCACATAGAGGTGGAATGAACAGTCCACCATCTTGGGGTCACGTAATAAATCCCTGGGCAGGCCCAGTTTGCCCCATTATTTTGGCTAACATGTCTAGAAGAAGAGATCTCAGTGACTATGAAAGAGGGGTGATTGTTGGGGCACGTTTGGCAGGAGCTTCAGTGACGAAGACTGCTCAACTTGCTGATGTTTCACGATATGCCATGGCCATCTCAGTCACCAGATCTCAACCCAATTGTAAACTTATGGGAGATTCTGGAGCGGCGCCTGAGACAGCGTTGTCAACACCAAATGATGGAATTTCTCGTGGAAGAATGGTGTCGCATCCTCCAACAGAGTTCCAGACTGTGGCTCATGGTAGCCCAACGCACTATTAAGACACTTTATGTTGGTGTTTTAGCGGTTACCTGTACCTTTGTCATGATATTAATAAGATTATATTACAAAGTACAGGTTAGTCAAGGTAATTTGTACATGTAAGTAGGGGTAAAGTCACTATGCATAGATAATAAACAGCGAGTAGCAGCAGTGCAAAAACATAGGGGGGGGGGGGGGTTGGGTCAATGTAAATATTCTGGGTGGCCATTTGATTAATTCTTCAGCAGTCTTATGGCTTGGGGATAGAAGCTGTTAAGGAGCCTTTTGGACCTAGACTTACATTTTAGTCATTTAGCAGACGCTCTTATCCAGAGCGACTTACAGTTTTTAGTGAGTGCATACATTTTTCATACTGGCCCCCCGTGGGAATCAAACCCACAACCCTGGCGTTGCAAGTGCCATGCTCTACCAACTGAGCTACAGGAGACTTGGCGCAGAGAGAACAGTCTATGGCTTGGGTGACTGGAGTCTTTGACCATTTGTTGGGCCTTCCTTTGACACTGCCTAGTATATAGGTCGTGGACGGCAGGAAGCTTGGCCCCATGTGGTAGTTATGACGCATGCTCCATTTAGGAGGGGAGAAAGCACGTAGGCCTATGCCCAGGCCACACAAATTTGTTCATCCATTACGTAAGGGATACACACTTCCTGTAGGCACTGACTTGATAGATCTAGCGTATAGATTAAATGGGAAAGAGGAAATGCATGAGGTCTTCATATTAAATAGTCAGGAGCGTGTGGCCCATTTTAACCTAAAAGCTACACCACAGATAGAGTATTTTAGCATAAAGCATAATCTCACAGTACCTCAAGCAGAATTCCTAGCTTCATTCCAAAATAGAAGCAGAGAAACAAAGTGACATAGAAACAATTGGCCATGGAAACCCACCTAAACATAATCAAGGCTCTGTGTATTGCATCAAGTAGGAACAAAAGAAAACCAAAATAAACACAAGACATCCCGTAACTAACTGAACCATGTTGAGGTTACCACAAAATAGAAGTCACGTACGTATTATCCAGAGAGGCAAGAGTGCAGTAGGGCATGTACTCAACCAAATGTCATTCAAATAAATATAAAACAGTTTGGCCATCTATCATACATTTTAGTTATGCAATTAGGAGAAAATATTTAATCCTAGGGTTGATAATAAATGGTAGAGAAAAGCATCCAGCACAGTCCTGTTTTGTCCTCATTTTGGGCCTGCTGTCCATTGAAAACCATATTTGTGATGATGGCCTATGTAAGTTGCTGCTGAGACTCAAGGTACAAAAGGTATTGTTCAACAGCCATGGGTCTTTGACGCAACCAAATAAATAGTTAAGTTAACTGATAAACATATGATAAGGCCTATTACTTCTTCACGTGTGCCTATTCTGTAATCTGTTCAGAAAAGTGAAGTAGAAACCTTACCCACTGGGCACACACTGGTTGAATAAATGTTGTTTCCACGTCATTTCAATTAAATAACGTTGAACCAACGTGGAATAGACGTTGAATTGACATCTGTGCCCAGTGGGTACTTGATATCATAAATGGGAAAAGTATATTTGATACAAACCTTGCAGAGGTAGCCTACTCTATTATCACTAAAAGTACATAGGATTTACACTGGGCGTTACACAATGTTTCTAAAATGGACAAATGTTTTCATTCATAAAACAGTGTTTATTGTTAGTATTTTCCTATTTCCCCACATAATCTCAGACATTTCATTGATAACTAAAACTATCACAGACATGCAGCCAGCTTAATGATGTGTGTAAAATGAGGGACTGGATGTGTTTTGCAGAAATATCCTAAACGGAAATCCAAGAAAATCCAAGGTAGCAACTGGCAGACCACTGTTGGCCGTCTGCAATGTTTGTGCACCCAGTCATTGAATCAAATGGTGACATTCAAAATAATAATAATAATAATAATAATAATATAATAATAATAATAAGCCATTTAGCAGACGCTTTTATCCAAAGCGACTTACAGTCATGTGTGCATACATTTTTACGTATGGGTGGTCCCGGGGATCGAACCCACTACCCTGGCGTTACAAGCGCCATGCTCTACCAATTGAGCTACAGAGGACCACATAAAATAAAATAAAATAAAATGTCTGAAAACAGTCAAATTGTTTCACAAATATGATTTCTTGTCATTGTGCATTATGTTTGTCTATTCAACTAATGACCTGTAGTGCATTTTCAAAATTAGAAGAAAATATAATATAATATAAATTCAATTGAAGACAGCCTGCTTACTAGAGTAAATATATTTGCATTTAATTAAATTATTACAACATGTTCTTTCATATAATTTATGTAGGCCGATTTTGATTATCTATACATTACATTTTTGTATTGCAAATATTTTGACATATATTTGGCAAATTATTCCAAATGTACTTTTCAGTATTTAGTAATGAGTTTGCAAGAAAGGCATTTCACTGTACTTGTGCATGTGACATTAAAACTTGAATAATTGCCTTTGACTATCAAAACAGTTTAATTGATTGGAATGAATCATGTATGTACAAATGCAATGTGCTCAAATCTAAAATCTATCAGAGAATACTTTTCAAGCTCCCACCCAATCTCCCGCCAATCAATCAATCACGTTCGTGTTTAGATTGAATTTTGGCAACTGTTCTAATAACAATTCACTGGGTTTGCCTATCAACTTCGCTGGATGAGGTTGTCAAATGGAGTGATTTCAAATGGAGAAAAAAGAAGGTAAAACGGAAACACATTGTTGAGTACGAACCTGTTGAGTGCTAACAGTAATTGTTTGTAAAGTTGTGTGGTTGTTGAAATAAAGGTCCCTTAGGAAGTAATGCTGTAGGCCTACTAGTTAGAGTTCAGCTTGTGATGATGCTGTGGTTAGCAACTGGAATTGAGCTTGTAACTAGCTAGATACTTTTTTTCCCGCCAATTATCAATCAAACAAACCCTTTATCGAAGGAAGTACATTTCGAAATATCAGGAGGCTTCCAGATGTTTTCATCAGACCTGTGCACAAGCTTGGGCCTAACGCAGTAAGCTAGATGCCCTATAGATGGCGGTAGAGGAGAACACAGCCAGGCCTAATATTAAAAATATAACAAGAGAGCTCCACACTTACAACCCACTTTCTTTGCTAATTGTCATGATAGGTAAAGTTCTTATTAACCGCAGCTCTAAAATAATCATGCACTGTATTTCAGATGACAGTATCACTTCAGTAATCTACCCTACCCTGTTCAAAATGACCCCAAACAGACAACATTTGTAAAATTAATAGAATATTTAAACATGGCTCTACGCTGAACATTTTTTACAAAGAGCACGTGTGTGCCTAAGTTGAAAAAATGTAGGTGCACACAAATAAATTTAGGAGCACAATTAAAAATATTTGAGGTAATAAAGCTAGAATCCTTGATTTTTCAAGGCTCATTGGTGCTCCTAAATTAAAATTCCAGGTTGCACAGCAACATATTTAGGCGTATATGTGAGTAAAATGATCGCACTGTAGAGCCCTGTTAAATGTTCTAATGATTGCTGCAGGTCCCAAATTGTCATCAACATACCTATACATTTCGTATTATTTCAGCCTGCAAATCAGGATATGGAGTGTGATTGAGCAGTAATGAGTCAACCCAACACTCCGGCAAAGTGGAACTCTGGACTGTTGCATTGACAGGAGAGTCTGTAAGTGTAGGCTGTAATAACAAACATAAACATTATTTAAAATCTTTTGATGTCAACAAATTCATAATAACTTGTATCTTCCAGGTTTGTGTGGCACCTTCTGTTCAATGTGCCTAGCCTGTCAGATGGCTGAGAGGTATGGTGAATGCTTCTGTCTCCCCCTGCTGCCAACAACAATGATGATGATGCGCACAGCAATGAGAGAGATATACAACATCCGGGTGAGATAGCTAGTCTAGGACAGTGCAACAAACATAAAAGATATCTGTGTATTATTGAATAGCTGCTTTTTATCATCACAGTGTTATTGCTGAACAACCTCATTGTCAATTTTGATAGCTTGGTTTGACTGTATGATTTATGTGTACTTATACAGTACAGTAGTCACCAAATAAGCAAACTATTATTTTTCTATCATCCCTCTGTATTTCTAGGCCAGCTTAATTGATGACTGGGCAGTGCACATGTTCTGTGGACCCTGTGCTCTATGTCAGATGGCAAGAGAGATGAAACACCAGCTGGGTTGAGATTGAAAGGCAATCAATCCATTTTAGTTTTGGGGGTCTGTGTATACCTAATGAAATAAGAAGAAACACACTGATGCCTTTATATTTCATACAGTATCTGATGAATTCCAAGTGAATAAGTCATGCATGGAATTTACAAAAAGGCCTAATAAACCTGCATGTACGATTATACAACTTTTGAAGGACAATTAGACTATTGTGCACAACCATAAAACATGTGTTTTTGTTTATATTCTTGCACATGCAGCTGTCAATTTGACTATTGATTATTGTTTGTTGCTAAAACAATGACAAAGTAAAGTACAATTAATATACATGAGGAAATACTCTCACAGAATTTTCGATACATTTCCATAGTAATGGCAATGGATGGAGGCATGATCGTGGCTGTGGAATGCAATTTATGAAGCACCGTTGCCTAGTAACATCCAAAGCGCCGAAGCGTGCCATAACCGTAAGCTGACTTTCTAGCTAAGGTAGGCTTGTTTGGTAACCTCTAGGTACGTTTTTGAAACGCAAAAAAAAAGTTTACTAAAAAGTAAACATTAATAATGTAAATGCATTACTTTGCAGATAATTACATTTTCTAATATTTAAATTTGCTCAAGTGACTAGCTTCTGTTGCTAGTAGCTAGCTAGCAATTGACAGCTAACGTTAGCTAGCTACAGTAGTTAGGTATCCGTATGAGCTAGCTAGCTAGAAGTAAAATGTAGGCCTATAATAATTGTGTATTAATTTATATTAATTGAGCAGGGTAGTTGCAGGAAATATGTGCAACGTATTTCAAGACGCCACTACAAGCCAACCAAGAACTTTAGCTGGGGGCCAGTTTGCCGGGATCCAGAAAAAGACATGGAGCTCTGGAGTGATGGATTGCTGTGTCGACAGAGATGTTTGTAAGTCAAGACTAGTTAGCTAGGTTTAACGGTACCTACACATTTTGATTGTTTGCATACTATTTGCCTAATACAAGCCAAGATGTACACTCTACATATTTATTTGGACAGTGAAGCTAAAACTTTGAATTTGGCTCTATATCCCAGCATTTTGAATTTGAGATAAAACATGTTATATGAAGCAACAGTACAGAATGTCACCTTCTATTTGAGGGTATTTTCATTCATATCTGTTTTACCATTTAGAAATGAAAGCATTTTATGTACCTATCTAGACCCCCATTTGAAGCTGTCATATGTATTTGGACAAATTTTGAACACTTCTACATTAATGTGGATGCTACCATGATTACAGATACAGTGGGGAGAACAAGTATTTGATACACTGCCGATTTTGCAGGTTTTCCTACTTACAAAGCATGTAGAGGTCTGTCATTTTTATCATAGGTACACTTCAACTGTGAGAGACGGAATCTAAAACAAAAATCCAGAAAATCACATTGTATGATTTTTAAGTAATTAATTTGCATTTTATTGCATGACATAAGTATTTGATCACCTACCAACCAGTAAGAATTCCGTCTCTCACAGACCTGTTAGTTTTTCTTTAAGAAGCCCTCCTGTTCTCCACTCATTACCTGTATTACAGTGAGGGAAAAAAGTATTTGATCCCCTACTGATTTTGTACGTTTGCCCACTGACAAAGAAATGATCAGTCTATAATTTTAATGGTAGGTTTATTTGAACAGTGAGAGACAGAATAACAATAAAAATATCCAGAAAAATGCATGTCAAAAATGGTATAAATTGATTTGCATTTAATGAGGGAAATAAGTATTTGACCCCCTCTCAATCAGAAAGATTTCTGGCTCCCAGGTATCTTTTATACAGGTAACGAGCTGAGATTAGGAGCACACTCTTGAAGGGAGTGCTCTTAATCTCATCTTGTTACCTGTATAAAAGACACCTGTCCACAGAAGCAATCAATCAATCAGATTCCAAACTTTCCACCATGGCCAAGACCAAAGAGCTCTCCAAGGATGTCAGGGACAAGATTGTAGACCAACACAAGGCTGGAATGGGCTACAAGACCATCGCCAAGCAGCTTGGTGAGAAGGTGACAACAGTTGGTGCGATTATTTGCAAATGGAAGAAACACAAAAGAACGGTCAATCTCCCTCGGCCTGGGGCTCCATGCAAGATCTCACCTCGTGGAGTTGCAATGATCATGAGAACGATGAGGAATCAGCCCAGAACTACACGGGAGGATCTTGTCAATGATCTCAAGGCAGCTGGGACCATAGTCACCAAGAAAACAATTGGTAACACACTACGCCGTGAAGGACTGAAATCCTGCAGCGCCCGCAAGGTCCCCCTGCTCAAGAAAGCACATATACAGGGCCGTCTGAAGTTTGCCAATGAACACCTGAATGATTCAGAGGAGAACTGGGTGAAAGTGTTGTGGTCATCAGATGAGACCAAAATTGAGCTCTTTGGCATCAACTCAACTCGCCGTGTTTGGAGGAGGAGGAATGCTGCCTATGACCCCAAGAACAACATCCCCACCGTCAAACATGGAGGTGGAAACATTATGCTTTGGCTGTGTTTTTCTGCTAAGGGGACAGGACAACTTCACTGCATCAAAGGGACGATGGACGGGGCCATGTACTGTCAAATCTTGGGTGAGAACCTCCTTCCCTCAGCCAGGACATTGAAAATGGGTCGTGGATGGGTATTCCAGCATGACAATGACCCAAAACACACGGCCAAGGCATCAAAGGAGTGGCTCAAGAAGAAGCACATTAAGGTCCTGGAGTGTTCTAGCCAGTCTACAGACCTTAATCCCATAGAAAATGTGTGGAGGGAGCTGAAGGTTCGAGTTGCCAAACGTCAGCCTCGAAACCTTAATGACTTGGAGAAGATCTGCAAAGAGGAGTGGGACAAAATCCCTCCTGAGATGTGTGCAAACCTGGTGGCCAACTACAAGAAACGTCTGACCTCTGTGATTGCCAACAAGGGTTTTGCCACCAAGTACTAAGTCATGTTTTGCAGAGGGGTCAAATATGTATTTCCCTCATTAAAAATGCAAATCAATTTATAACATTTTCGACATGCGTTTTTCTGGATTTTGTTGTTGTTATTCTGTCTCTCACTGTTCAAATAAACCTACCATTAAAATTATAAACTGATCATTTCTTTGACAGTGGGCAAACGTACAAAATCAGCAGGGGATCAAATACTTTTTTCCCTCACTGTAACTGCACCTGTTTGAACTCGTTACCTGTATAAAAGACACCTGTCCACACACTCAATCAAACAGACTCCAACCTCTCCACAATGGCCAAGACCTGAGAGCTGTGTAAGGACATCAGGGATAAAATAGGCAATAGGCAAGCAGCTTGGTGAGAAGGCAACAACTGTTGGCGCAATTATTAGAAAATGGAAGAAGTTCAAGATGACGGTCAATCACCCTCGGTCTGGGGCTCCATGCAAGATCTCACCTCGTGGGGCATCAATGATCATGAGGAAGGTGAGGGATCAGCCCAGAATCCTGCAGCGCACGCAAGGTCCCCCTGCTCAAGCCAGCGCATGTCCAGGCCCATCTGAAGTTTGCCAATGACCATCTGGATGATCCAGAGGAGGAATGGGAGAAGATCATGTGGTCTGATGAGACAAAAATAGAGCTTTTTGGTCTAAACTCCACTTGCCGTGTTTGGAGGAAGAAGAAGGATGACTACAACCCCAAGAACACCATCCCAACCGTGAAGCATGGAGGTGGAAACATCATTCTTTGCGAATGCTTTTCTGCAAAGGGGACAGGACGACTGCACCGTATTGAGGGGAGGATGGATGGGGCCATGTATCGCGAGATCTTGGCCAACAACCTCCTTCCCTCAGTAAGAGCATTGAAGATGGGTCGTGGCTGGGTCGTCCAGCATGACAACGACCCGAAACACACAGCCAGGGCAACTAAGGAGTGGCTCCGTAAGAAGCATCTCAAGGTCCTGGAGTGGCCTAGCCAGTTTCCAGACCTGAACCCAATAGAAAATCTTTGGAGGGAGCTGAAAGTCTGTATTGCCCAGCGACAGCCCCGAAACCTGAAGGATCTGGAGAAGGTCTGTATGGAGGAGTGGGCCAAAATCCCTGCTGCAGTGTGTGCAAACCTGGTCAAGACCTACAGGAAACGTATGATCTCTGTAATTGCAAACAAAGGTTTCTGTACCAAATATTAAGTTCTGCTTTTCTGATGTATCAAATACTTATGTCATGCAATAAAATGCAAATTAATTACTTAAAAATCATACAATGTGATTTTCTAGATTTTTGTTTTAGATTCCGTCTCTCACAGTTGAAGTGTACCTATGATAAAAATGACAGACCTCTACATGCTTTGTAAGTAGGAAAACCTGCAAAATCGGCAGTGTATCAAATACTTGTTCTCCCCACTGTATCTGTAATCATGGTAGCATCCACATTAATGTAGAAGTGTTCAAAACATTTTATATTCTTATTTACAATAAAAGTGATTTCAAAATGACACAATATATTATTCACCATTCTTTTCTATTGGGCACAATACACAGTGCATTCGGAAAGTATTCAGACCCCTTGACTTTTTACACATTTTGTTACGTTACAGCCTTATTCTAAAATGGATAAAATTGTCCCCCCCACCCCCACCCCCCGTCATCAATCTACACACAATACCCCATAATGACAAAGCAAAAACAGGTTTTTAGAAATTTCTGGACATTTACAGTGGGGGAAAAAAGTATTTAGTCAGCCACCAATTGTGCAAGTTCTCCCACTTAAAAAGATGAGAGAGGCCTGTAATTTTCATCATAGGTACACGTCAACTATGACAGACAAAATGAGATTTTTTTTTCCAGAAGATCACATTGTAGGATTTTTTATGGATTTATTTGCAAATTATGGTGGAAAATAAGTATTTGGTCAATAACAAAAGTTTCTCAATACTTTGTTATATACCCTTTGTTGGCAATGACACAGGTCAAACGTTTTCTGTAAGTCTTCACAAGGTTTTCACACACTGTTGCTGGTATTTTGGCCCATTCCTCCATGCAGATCTCCTCTAGAGC